TGCTGTGGCTCGATGAAGGGGTTGTTAGAAGGCACAGATTGCATGTCAACCGGGCTGCCAGTCTTCCGTCTTTGGCGAGAAGAGTGAGGAGACTACGGCGAAGGACTCGCGGCGACTATTGGCCATCGGCGGGGACATTTCGAGACCGGAATCAAGGCCGCTGTTATCGAGGATGTTTTCGTCTAAGATGCTGTGGTCTTCTTCCTCAAAGTACTTCTGGGCATGATTTGTGTCGACGGTCAAGGGCGTAGGTCTGTAGTACGTCTGCATGGGGAAGGCTGATACCATTGCAGGTCACTGTTGGTGTATGCGCTGCGGCGTGAACGGCGGCGCAGCGAGTGAATATTTGTGTTGTGGGTGAGATGTGAAAGTAACCCTCTGTTCATGAATTGTGTTAGTCGGCTATGGCGGTGAGGGTGGATTCGCAGCAAGATAGAAAAGCGTCTCCAAGGGGGGGGGTTGGTGGGTTTATTTTGGGATGTGAGTGAGATGCAGCGGGGGGCGGGTCCACTGCGAGGTGAACGAGGGGATTGTAGGATGGAGGATCGGCTCCCGGGGAGGCGCGCGCTCACTCCTCCGACTTTGGCAACAGGGCAAAGCAACACATAAAGCCAGCGCAGAGGGTGTTGCTGCAAAGATCAAAAGAGGGATTGGGGTGAGGCGTTTGGGACAGTGATTGATACCGATGCCGTGAGAAGCAGTGTGAAGGTGGTAGTGGAGGAGCGGGGATGATGAAATGGGACGGGGAGCGGGTTGAGCGGGAGCAGTGGAAAACCGGAAAGATTTAAAGGCCGTGGTGCGTTGAACGGTGGGAGGTAGACTTACGGGTGGAGGGGGCTTTGCGTGGTACAACTCTGTTGGTGTCGCGCTTGAGTTCGAATTCTTGTGCTGTGATGCCAAACACAAGAGAGGAAGAATGTGGGAGGACCGAGTCTAGATGAGACGAGGCGAAGATTTCGGCCGCAAAGAGGAGGGCAGAAGAGGTGACGGAACAATAATAAACAAGTCAGTCATGTGTTGGTGACTGATGCGTGGTGGCTCCTCGTGAGGTGGAGGAAGCGCGAGCCGAAGGTGGAAAAGGACTGACGTTCAGTCCTGTCCGTTCAGTATGAATGTTAGTGTTGGTGTGATCTGGTGGTAGCATGCCATGGGCCGCGAGAGGGTGGGTGAGGGTAAGGTTTTGTACTGTAGGGGCAAAAGGTGGTAGTCTAGGGTGCGATGGAGAGAGG